TTGCACCACAGTCATTTCAATTTGCATTTGCTGAGGGCTGGCAGCAGTTCAGGTGATGTGTGGCAGCTGGATTACGGGGCTGAACCCAGGGCCACAGCAGAATATCAAATGCATGCATAAATCCTGCATGTGCACCTGGTTCTAGCAGTGACAAAGTCATTACTGACTTGATTTAAACCGAAAGAAACGAAATCCCCAAAGGTTTGACATCTTACCTATAATGAGATCATACAACAGTTGTGTTTGTGTAAGACTATTTAAGCCATGGCTCCAGAGATAGAGTCATCGCCTTCGGGTCACATTATCTGCATCTGATACACCTCAGCTCTAGAAAGAGCAATACCATCAGGTTTCATTGCCCTCAGAGCAGTTTCATGTGTGTGATCTGCTGTGCTCTTTAGAAAGCCCTTGTTTAAGCACTGGTCCTAGTCCTTTGGGTAATGCCACCTTGTTGTCAAGTTTTAGTTTTCGTTTTGCTCTTTTATCCCTGTATGAGGATAAAACTGTCTACCACCATGCAAGTAGCTTATAGTAGGCTGTAAAGTTGCTGAATAAAGGCTCTGATTTGAAACCAATATAGGCACGCTTGTATGAAATTTTGCTTGAATGTTCCACAGATCAATTTTCTTCAACTGCAACCCTGTGTCTTAAGCCTAAGATTCACCCTGGCTGGTTAGGCTTTGGTAGAATTTCAGTTCCTTTCTTATGCTTTATATTGCAGTATCTGTCTCTAGTTAACTCAGTGTAGAAAAGCACCCTGTTCAACAAAAGTATGGTCTCAAAAAGAACTCCGCTCAGCATATAATTTAGGTTTTATTTTAAAATGGCTATAATGTTTGTGTTGTATATTGCATTGTGAATATATTTCAGAGTGAAAGCTCAATGGGTTAGTTCTATCCAGAGTAAGTGGTAGTTAATGAAACCTTTTATTAATAAAGTTTAGATAATTATCTGGGTAATTGTACAGGCAAATAATTCAGTAATTTGGAGTGATTTACTCTGTGTATAATGATACTTTACTCTGTTTAAGTGCAGCTTAACATGTTAATTATGGAGACTCGAGGGACTGGTTAAAAGTTATTCTAGTGATCATATTCTCCAGGGAGACTGCTTTTTGGAACAGCACCCACAGAAAGATACAAACCTCAAGCCAAAATACAATATTGGCATTTAAAGATTTAAAAAACCAATAAAGCAAAACCCAGTCTTCAAGGTGGCTGAGTTTTTTTGTTCGTTTGATTTGTTTTTTTCTTTTTTTTTTCCTTGTACTGTTGAGGCCACTTGAGTTCTCTTAACAGTGATACTCTTCCTGGAATCAAGGTAGATAAGGAGTGTCTTTCTAGAGCACTTGTCAAGACATAGTACTATATGAAAACACACCCCATCATTTTATCCTATTTTTCCATGTAAGTTGCTAATATACCTCATACCTCAGCCACGTCTTTTTCAAATGCAGAACACAAAAACCTTGCAAGCACTTGTTCACTGGGAGTAATACTGTGCATCTGATCCTCAGGTGTGAGAACATCATCCCCTGTGACATTAGAACTCTTGCTGTCGGACAAAAACATCCATTTTTTTGAATGAAGAGGTTTGATTTTTTAAATTTTTGTTTCTTTTAGGATTTTGTTTTGGTTGCTTGCTTTTGTTACTTCTTTGATTTGCTTTTGGTTTTGTTTGCTTCTTTTTGTTTTCTGTTTTTGACAAATCTCTGATTAGTTCAAGGCAGAACTTCCTGAAAACCCGACTCATTCGTGATGGCTTGTAAGAGATGGCACAGTCAGGAGGTTTGTCATCTCTGGGCAGTTTGAGTGCACTGGAGCTGTTATGGTCCTTGTTTTCATATGTGGTTTGAGTACCAGCATCATGCCTGGCAGCTGGGAGCTCCCAGGATCTCAGAACCCTCAGGTGTTTTCTGTGTGGCTGGGAGTGTGGCTGCATGGGCATTGTTGTGATAGACATGTCAGAGACCTTGCTAGGGACTTGCTGCTGAGTTGCTGCTGGGCAGGAATAAGTCTTGAAGCGTGTTGTGGTTCTATTCCATGTAAATGTGAAACTGAATAATACCAAAACAATCATGATTACTATTCATCATCCGTGCAACCCATGATTCAGACAATTCTCCTGAGGAGTTATTTGTCAACAGTAGTATGTCCTGCCATGTCATATTCTACACGTGAACTGTGTGAGTTTGAATGGAGGCAGATGGAGGGAAAAGTGCATGCACAACAGAGATTCATCCGGTGAGACTGCCACCTCAGTCCTATCATATCTGCAAATCCCACTGATCTCTTTTCAGATCAAGTTATAGGTAGCAAGTTTAAATAGTTTATATTACTCGGAATCCCCATGTGATCTTAAAATTGATAAGAATATAGATGCATAGAGCAGAGGAAGCATCCTCTTCCTTCTACACACAAATTCTTCATCCACAATGTTTAGACCTATATATAGCTATACAAAAGACACTGATGTTCAGAAACATTCAACCTACTTGAGAAAATGTGCTTTTTCCCTTGCTAAATTATCGTAATACAGGATTGTCTGCTCCCAGGTTTCACTTTGGTGGAAATTCCAGCTCCTCTGGATAAAACATGCAGTTCTTAAATATGACGTGTATTTTATAACTTCTAAGAAGTCCAGCTGTATGTTTTGCTCTTTACACAGTTATAAACAATATTTAGCATTGTGTAGCAAAGATCAGGGATTCCAGATAGAACAGAGAAGAAAGTGACATTAGAAGATATTTCAAAAGTACAGCAAGAAAAATGAAGTTCCATGAAGTAGCAGCATTAGGAATATATGACATGACATTTATTTAGTAAATATGTAGATCACCATTCAGTCAAAATGTAGTAAAATGAGAATGAATGTAGGACTTATGTTATTAGAAAACCTTAGTAAGTTTGTATATGATGGTTCATTCAGGATTAAACCAGGCATATGGTTTATCCATATAAATGTGGATATTTATCATGATAGTACTGCATATATAATGCACTAAAGTGATGTATATCTCATTGAGTTAGGAAAAAACTTTAATAGCTGATATTTTATCTTTAGGGCAATATGTAAAGGGAGCCCCTCTAGCCAAGCATAAAAGTTCAGACATTATAACATGTGCAGTAAAAATATTGATCACTCAAACTGATGCCAGGTGGGAACAGCTATGGCAAAGCAGGACATACCCAAAGGGATGAGAATTGTAACAGGCTTCCAGATCTCGCTTACAGGTATTCCCCAAATCTATTGGCTACAACTGCTAAAAGAGGGTAGAAATGTGGTAAGAATTGGCAGAGTGCAAATTCCTGAATCAAATCCATGAACTTTCAGTTGGTTTGTGAAAGGATATGCCTAAAACTGAGTGAAGAAATAAGTAAAATATAATTTTTAATATGTTTCAGTACAATGTCTTGTTTGTGGGAATATGCTCAGAGCTACCAACATGGGAGTGAGAAGGAGAGGTTGCCCAGAGGACAAACTGCTCCTAGGTTGTGTTTCCCTGTGGTTCACTTGCTGTTTTTCCCCTACAGCTGTGGGGAGCTCATGAGGATTCCCTCGGCATGGGGAATGGATACTGAGCATTGAAATAAAGAATAAATGAGGAAGAAGGATTGCCATGAACTTATGTCAAAGCAGATAGCAACATGAAAGGTGAAATTAATTGAAAGCTGATGTACAGAAGTACAGAGAAAAAAAGTCTTAGAAGTAACTTGGAATGCAAAATAGCCAGCACCTTCTAGGAGGATATCCATATGTGTAGGATGTTGGATTATCCTTTTGGGCACCTAACAATATAGCATTACTGAACTATGCTATTTTCTCATGAAACTCTTAGGCAATATTAATGAAGTTGGATTTTAAAAAAAAATTAAAAAAATAAGAAAGAACAGAAAAGCTTCTTGCACCTATTTCTCATCTCAAGGCCTCACTTTGTTTTTGTTTTTCCCATTTTTTACAGTCTCCTCTTCCCCTGAATTTGCTTTCAAATCAGGGACAACTTGGAGGAGATTGCTGAAAGCAGTAAAAGTACACAGCCAAATGAAAACTCTAAAGCAAATGTTGCTTTTCAATATGTTATTCTCATTGAAAGCCTCTCAGGAAGCAAAATTAGATTTCTTTAAAAAACATTTTTGAACACACACAAAAAAATATCACCTTTTTCTCTTATATTTGGCAAATTGCCTTCCGGCAGTCTAATAAACAGAATTTTTTACTGAAAACTCAGGAGAGGAGTTGTTTGTTGGCCAATTTACCCATAAAGCTATTAATTCTTCTGACCTTGGAGAAGAAAAGTGGAAATAGATATATGACATCTAAACACCATTTCAGCTTGGAAAGTTAAAAGGAAATTTAATTTCTTATTGTGAAAATTACCATCCAACCAGAACTTTCAGCCCCGTGTCTTACTGAGTGTGATGTGCATTAAAATACTCTGAAAAGGAATCAGTGTGATAGGAAGAGTTCTCCGGATAGGCACCTGCAGAGTTACTCCTTGTCTGCATTGTGTGAGGCCCAGTAGTGCTCTCAGGACTCCAAGAGCTATAAAACAAGTTCTTACAGAGCAGTTCCTTTGCATCATCCTGGTAAGAATTTCTGCTAAGACAACAAGTTTCTTGGTCACTTTTATATTTGTGTGGTGAATATTATTTTTTCCCATGGGTCTTATATATTTATAGTAGGGATAGAGAAAAAAGCCAGTGGTGAGGTTGGTTAAACACCTTCTGCAAATGTTATTAGAACTTGTCCATAATTTTTGCTCTTTCTGCTTTTTTGGAACTTCAGTTGCTGTGTTTTTTACTAAGACCTTTTCCCCTGCTTGCTCCCACCACCATGGGATAGTGTGGCTGTTCTGGTGATCATTGCAGTCAAGTCCTAGGAAAACATTAATAAAAGAAAAGTAGATTTGCCATTTATGAGGCAAGAGACCTTTACTTCTTATATAAGCTTTTTCTGCTGCTAAAAAGACAGGAACTAAACATCTGAGGTTTATCTTCCAGGGATTTCTCAGTAAAGATTTCACCTGTGCCATGCAGAAAAGCTGCCACCCAAGGGATCCTTCTCAATACCTGTCAGGAAGAGGAAGCCTGGAGGAGGGACTGCGCTGGACACAGAAGCAAATTGAGGCAAAACTTTAGCACACATCACACCTTTTGGCTGTTCAGGTTGCTTCAGGCTCCAAATCCAGTCCTTCTTTAGGATGGTACTCAGGTGGCTTAAACTGCATCAGCATCCGTCTCAGGTGCGTGGCATCTTGCCTCGAGACCTGTGGCCATTGTTTGGGGGTGTGTTACAAACCTGACTGGTACCAACACACTGAACACAAAGACTAATGTGTTTTTGAATGTTGATTCAAATGGAAATCAAAGGAAAGGTAGCCTCTTGCTCTCACTCCTGCCCTTAGGTAGTGCTGTGAAACAAGACTGGTCTACATGTTTTTGTCAGAGCCTGGGGAAAAGGAAATAAAGCCCTTCCCACAAATATGTGAATCACTCTCTTCCCCAGCTTACTGGTGACAATATTGTTTCATTTTGGTACTTTCCTTTGTAAAGGTACCCTGGTAGCTTATGAACAATAACCCAGAGTCAGGTATTGTGGCCCTTTCAGCAAGGCTTCTGTGCTTTCACAAAAAAAAAAAAATCTTCATACTTTCTGAATTTATTAGGTTGGGAAAGAGGTAAAGAGAGACACCAACATGTTTAGAGATTTTTTTAGTTTGAAGTGGGGTAAAACTTGAAGTAGTGGGATTTCATAACCATGATGCAGGGACTTATCCTTCCAAGAGAGACAGGATATGAGTGTGATGAAAACACTGTGCTGGCCTTCAGTAAAAAATCCCCCATGGTAAAAATTACCTACCCTAGCAAATACTGAATTTGAAGTCGTTTTTACAGAGGAAGTTAACTATATGACATTGTTATTATGAAAACACCTCTAAAATATTTTATTGGAACAGGAATTTTGCTTGAAGAAGACTGCAGAGTTGAACAAAGTATTGGTTTGCTTCTCTGCTGCAGAAATATAGATGAGATTTAAAAACCACAGTAATTTATGAGCTGTACTTAGAACCCATGAAGGGATGTCTCGGATTCAGAATTGTTTCATTCCTGATGTGATTTAGAAGATTAAACTGTCATATTTTAGCACAGATAGATGGCCATCATTGATATAATTAATCATGTACCATAAATTCTATTATTTAGAAGATACTTCATATAAAAGTTGGAAATACTTATTATACAATGCAAAATTAAGTAGCCTTATAATTATATTTTATACATATATGTTGATTTGTTTCATATGCATAGGCTATTTGCTTTACCAAGTAATCCAATACACTAAATGCATACTGCAAAACAATACAATAATGGAGTGTTTGCTAATGACTTCAATTTAAGGACAGTCTGTCTAATAGGTGAGATGTTACCAAAACAGTGTGCTAATGATTTGAAAATTATTACCGAAATTGTGTTCAGTCTAGGACGGGTTGCACACGTAATTGCGCTAATAAATATCCAAGTCAGCTCTGATTTTCAAGCTCGTATATGATTACTATGAGTTTTAGGAATCAGACAGAGCTAAATCATGCTGTTGTGCTCACATGAATAGCCTCTCTGGTGGCACTGCTCCTTTGAGTAAAGAGAGCAAATACACCCTTGCTAGACAGAAATGCATTAAACATTCATAAATGACTGGTCAAAATTGCCTAACTGTGCATGTTCCTTGAAATTCTCTGTCATGAAATTTGGTCTATATACATATATACAATACTGGATATAAATTCATATGTAGGTATATAGAATTTCAATGTGGCTAAGACAGGATTCCATTTCTGTCTATACCCAACTGTAAAACACTGTGCATATACTGGTGTCACTGTCACCTTTTTATGCATTTCTTAGGTGTTCAAAGCACTCATCTACGACAAGGCAGACCTGAGTTCAGTTTCTTCTCTGCCTGCATGGCACTAAAGCTAAATCTTCCAGCTTCTAAGAAAGTGCTCTAAAAAGAGGTAAAAATCATAGGTCCCTGTGGGAGGGAAGATGTTTTGCTTGACCAGGGGCCCAAAGCATCTACTTAGTTTCTGGTCTCTACTGTGGGCTGCTTATGTAGTTTACCTACCTTAGATAGGAAGAGAATAAAATACATTAAATAGATCTTGGGACAGAAACTGAACAATAATCTACTGTTTTCTGTGAGCCAGTTTCAAATGATGAGCCTTCAGTTGAGCGATTAGCATGTGAGAAGAGAGCTGCGTATTTGTGCCCTCTGAAGAGGCATGAGCATGAGATGGGGTTATAGCTGGACTGTCTTAGCAATACTCAGATATTTCTGGGAGTTGCCTGATGCAAAATTCTGCAATCCCAAAGCAGATGTTTGAGCAGCTATGGTACTATTTCACAGCTGAATCAACAGTTTATAAATCAGAATTTGGTGTTTAAGTGGGAAAATCTCTGTGATTTGCAGCCCAAAGCTTTCGCACAACCTTGTATTTCAGTGCTGATAATATTTCAGCCCATGTTCTTTAAAAAAAACCCTAGGGCTCTGGCACAGCAAATTTTAATTTTTTTTTTCTCCATTCAAAAACAGAATTAAAACCTCTGCACAGCTGCTCACAAGGCACAAGACTCGAAAGTGTTAGTTCTAAAGTGAAGATGTGAAAAACAGTTTGTCCGGCATTCTTCTGACAAGGCACGGATTGTGTGTTTCTTCTGCACCCCACTGCCAGATGAAGCAGTGAACCAGCTAACCTACTGGTATGTCAACCCCCTTGCTGTAAATTGATGGCTGAGGCTGACTCCTAACATACTTTATTAGGACACCTGCTTTAAGAGCATGAAGTCAGTTGTGTGTGCTGGAGTGGACTCAGAGGTAAGCTGGGAAGGATGCCAAGGAAGGCAGATGTGTCTTTGAAGGAGCAGGTAAAGGGGCAGTACCATGATCTACCTGCCTTGGTATTGTAAATTCCCTACTACTGGCCAGAGGAGTGTTAAAAGACTACTGACAGCCTCAGAGCAGTGCAGCTGCAAGCCATGAAGAACAGTGGTAAAAGGCTGTATTCAGTTGTAGGTCAGAGAGAGAAAAGCAAGGCTAAGCTAGGAACATGGGAGGCTTCATTCGCTTAGCTGCCTCCCTTCCCGTTGCAGCTGCTCTACTTCAGGTTATTTACCAGGCCTGGATTCTTTCTCTATTCATCATTGTTGACTGCAGTTAGCTTGCTTTGGGGTTGAAAGGAGCTGAAGAGTCAATTATGTGTCTGGGGGCTTTTGAACGTCTTAAGTGTGGTAGATGGCTGCAACCCCTACCGCTCAGGTCTAATGAGGCAAGGCACAGAGCTGCAAGCCTCTGTTCTGACGTGGACCCACTGAAATGCTCCAGAGAGCCAAACGAAAGCAAACAGGAAGGGAGGGAACCATGTCTGCACGGGTTTGCAGGGCATCTGCAGCTATAGCAGTGTTCACTCTGCCTCTCTGCTTGCTCCGGAAACGTCCCTGTGCTGTCAGGGCAGGTGTGTTGCTCTGTGCCATGTGTTCAGCGCCACCTAATGCAGATGGACGCTCTTCAGATGGCTTCGAGGTTTTGGACAGGTAAATGTAACATGGTGAATGACGTCTGGTCTGCAGATATGATGCCATGTCAGAGCCCCAGCTAGTGGTCATAGGGTCTAGCATCACTTGCTACTTGCTCACTTGCTAGGTTCTATCTTGCATCTGTTCCCAAACACTTGCATTTATATAGTGGTGGTTACTGGCATAGACTTTACAGCATCATTTACCTCACCTCTGCTTGTAGTCCCCAGTCTCTTGGATTTAGTCTAGAGAGTTCACTTTGCTGCTCACCTCCTCTGACTCCTCTGCCTCATATCTTAGTTAATTATCTGTAGACAAAGCCACACTTGATGCCTTATCAACTAAAAAGACTGAATTAATCAGCTTTGTTAGGCAAAGGTTATAACAAGGGGGTTACCATCCTATCCGTCTGTTCACTTGTCTCCTGAAAAGTAACCATAACAGAACTCTAAAAAATCCTGTTAATGGATTATAGGTCAATAGCCTAGACACTCTGATAGCTCTGCAAGTAACCATGGACAAAATATCTGGGATTGATGGATTTTCTGAATACTTTTATAGGGTCTTTAATAGATGTTTCCCTCTCAAATGCTAATATGTTCTGCTAGTAGAAAGAAAATGGCTTTTTACCACTGTATTCCCTTGATGTGGCTAGGCAAAGCTGGGAGGTACCTAAAACTATGTAAAAGGCACTGAGTTGATCAATTCATATGTAAAGTTCAAGGAGAAAACTTTGGCCTTTTGCCTTCAGAAGTAATCATCCAAGTCACAAAATTATCTCATCCTGACGCACGAGGAGTCTCATGCATTGAAATCCAAAAGTTCACCCAATTTACTACTGGTGATCAAACTGGCAAAATGTACTGGGGAAGCATCAGACAATTCACTGTTCAGCGTGTCATGCTGAGGCGAATCCAATCTCATTCAAATTCTGTCTTCTAAAAAAGTGTTATACAACTAGGCTAAAAATTCTGTCACCTTCTTTATCTTTTAATTACAGAAACTTTCATTTGGAGGTGTATTGCAACCTATTCAAATGTTAAAACTCTAAATATGGTGTTTGTGCTTAGTTTGCAGTAAGCACAGCTGTGCAGCAGGGTGACCATTTATCTCTGTTCTTTTTTGCCTTGACAGCTAGACTTGACATCTCCAATTGCTGCAGCATAGGAGGTACTCACATCCAGAATAGGGCAGCAAGTGTGCAGAACTGTTTTGTCCTGATCACATCTTTTGTCCTGATGTCCATTAATTGAACAGAACAAAATTACTAAATATGGGAAACTGTAGAATCATGCCATTGTAGGGATTTGTTGTTCTTATCTCCAATGCTAAAATATTATTTAAAGTTTGCACCTTCCTGTGTTATTTTTCCACAAGAAGGAAGGGATCTGCAAGGTCTGAGGATTACTATGACTTGGTCTCAACTAAATACACAACCCACATCTTTTCTGGAACAATGAGTAATGGCAGGTGTTTAAAATATAATATTTACTCACTGGAAATAATAAAGGAGGTTTTTTCCTGTCTAGAATTTTTTTCATTTGGGGGTAGGGGGAAGGGAGGAGGCATTTATTAAGATTTCTGATTTTAGGCAGGGCAAATTTTGCTGTTCAATATGTCTGCTAGTTTCCCAAGACCTCCTTGTGCTTCTTCCAGGCTTGC